ATATATTGTAACAAATCTAGTCTGGCAATAACATCGTACAACATGGCAACACGGCAACACGGCGAGTTGGCAAGAAAGGAGAAAATTACAAAACAGAAGAAAAGAAGATGTCTGCTGCTAGTCGGAGAGTAGTTGAGTTGTTGACAATCCCGCGATTCGAACGGAAGCCCAAAGATAATTTGTAAACCATACATAAGTTCATAAATATTTTTAATTTAATAATTTTAGTTATATTTATATATATTACGATTAATAAAAACGTAACAATTGGTGTCAGAAGTGGGATTGTCAACAAACTGTGTTAAAAATGGTTAAATTGGCTGATTTAAAAATTCCACAATTGAAGAACGAGCTACAAGCACGTAATTTAGCTATTGATGGATCAAAGGCAAATTTACAAAGTCGACTACGCGATGCAATGGAGGCAGAGGGTATAGACGCAGACGAATTTGATTTCGAAGTTCCAGAAAGCTCCTCTAAGACAGAGTTAAAATCGACACAAGCAGATTCTTCACTAAAACTAGATACGAATGCGATATTAGCTGCCATTAAACAAATGAGTACAGAGAACTCAACAGCAATGTCACAAATGTCGGTTCAGCTGCGAGAAAATTCATCTCAAATGGAGGTACGATTTATGCAGCTGCAAGAACAGTTAACAAGTGATAATGCGCAAATACGCCAACAAGTGGAAAAGTTTGAAGATAAGCTACGGGATCTGAAGAGGGACGAAGAGGAGCTTAAATCCGAAGTGCTACAACTAAGCAGTCGTGTTCGTGATTTACAAGTACATAGCATAGCAGCACCAATATGCGCTCCAAAGCACAAAGCTCCAATGTTTGACGGAAGTGTCCCATTGCAAATATTTAAGCTTCAATTCGAAAAAACAGCGATGGCTAATAATTGGAATACCGAAGATAAAGTAGCTGCGTTATTTATTTCGTTGAAAGGTTCCGCAGCAGAAATATTACAAACCATACCCCAGTATGAAAGAGAAAATTATGATACCTTGATGTCCGCATTAGAAAGGCGATTTGGAAGTCAACACAGGCAACAAATATACCAAATCGAACTACAAAATCGATGCCAAAACTCAGGTGAGACTCTCCAGAATTTCGCAGCTGATGTTGAGAGATTGGCACATTTAGCAAATGCAGATGCATCGGTAGACTATATCGAACGCGTAAAAATACAAAGCTTCATTAATGGTATACGAGACGTAGATACTAAACGTGCGGCACTTGTACTGCCTAAAAGAACATTCGCTGAAACGGTGTCACATGCGCTTACTCAAGAAACCGCATCACTTGCCACTAAGCCCATTCACAAGGTTCATAAAATGGAATTGGAAGAATCAGCAGTTGTAGAAAGAATTGTCACGGCAATTAAAGACACATTGGTGCCTTTTACCAAAACGACGGGTAAATGCTATAATTGTGGAAAACAGGGCCATTTTGCACGCAATTGTCGAGTTCAGCGAAACCGCTCTAATGCCGAACCAGCAAGAAGCAGCGCTGGAGATGAGGATAAGCAATTCTTACCCAACTCGTTAAACTAAAACGAACCAGTCCCAAGGGGCGGAAACTGGTTCCTACAACTATTGGCCCCACAGTATCAATCTCACAAATTAGTCGCCACAAAAACAATATTACAGTTAACGGAACTGTCAACGATCGTCCATTAATGCTAACTCTCGATACTGGTGCGTCGCATTCAATCATTCGCCGTAACATAATAAAGGGAAAGATAGAAACTTTGTCTGGTTACAAACTGCGAACAGCAACTGGAGAAGAAGCTACTATTGCTGGTAAAATGTCTTGCGAGACTCGGATGGGCACTATGGCGGTCAATCACACCTTTATTGTGGCCGACATCATGGACGACGTAATAATAGGACTGGACTTTATGTCTAAACACGGAGTGATGTTAGACTTAAAGAAGAAAATACTATCTTGCGGAAATATGGAAATGCCACTAAATACTGGATATGAAACTAGTGTGGAGGTCAAGGCGGTAACAGTTAACGACAATCAGAATATTCCACCAAAATCTGAAGCGGTTGTGTGGGCGAAAATGGCTGAAGGATGTGGGCCCTCCAACTTGTGGGTTGTAGAGCCAACCAGCACCAATACCAATGTATTGGTGGGTAAAACGCTTGTTAAAACCAGAAGTGATACGAGAATTCCAGTAAGAGTCCTGAATGAACTGAATACGCCAGTAACGCTTAAAAAGGGTGTAGTTATTGGACAATGTCATGCCGTGGAAGCGGTGATACTATGCGATGAGTCTCAAAACAAACCTGTCGCCATTCACCAGCAAATAAGTCCTGACCTTTTTTCGAGGTGTCTTGAAGATGTTAAAGGGAATGATAAAATGAAGGTCAAAAAGCTACTGCACAAATACTCTTCGATATTTGCTACTGAAGATAGCAAACCCGGAAGAACTGCCATCGTGAAGCATAGGATAGATACTGGCGGCGCGAAACCTATTCGGCAAACTCCACGTAGGGTCCCGCTTGCTAAACGAGAAGAGGCTAATCAAATAATAGATAAAATGCAGAAAAGTGGTGTAATTAAACCGTCAACGAGCCCGTGGAGCTCTCCAGTTGTACTAGTAAAGAAAAAGGACGGAACTACACGATTCTGCGTGGATTATCGGAAACTGAACGATATCACTAAAAAGGATAGCTATCCATTGCCTAGAATCGATGACACTTTAGACACACTATCTGGAGCGAAATGGTTTTCCACGTTAGATCTTCAAAGTGGTTATTGGCAAGTCGAAATTGAGGAGAAGGATCGTGAGAGGACGGCGTTCAGCATAGGCGATGGGCTATGGGAGTTCACAGTGATGCCGTTTGGATTATGTAATGCACCAGCAACGTTCGAGCGACTTATGGAGCAAGTGTTAAAGGGACTTCATTGGAAAACATGCCTGGTGTATCTCGACGATATTATTATCATGGGAAAAAGTGTTGATGACCACTTGAAAAATATGGAGGAAGTCTTTCAACGAATCGCGGCAGCTGGATTACGCTTGAATCCCAGAAAATGCTCTTTGATGAAAACGCAAGTTACGTATCTCGGACATAAAGTGACGACACAAGGCATTCATACCGATGAGGAAAAGATAAATGCAGTGAAAGATTGGCCTAGACCAACAAACATACATGAATTGCGAAGTTTCCTTGGCCTATGCACCTACTACCGTCGATTTGTCCCAGGATTCGCCAATATAGCAAGAAGTCTGCATGAGCTTACTCAAAAGAATAGAACATTCATGTGGCAAAACGATCAAGAGAAAGCTTTTCAACAATTGAAGCAAGCTCTTTGTACAGCACCAATGCTAGCATATCCAGTACCAGGGCAGGAATTTATTTTAGACACCGATGCGAGCGCTTACGGAATTGGCGGTGTTCTTTCCCAGCTTATCGATGGTCAAGAAAAAGTGGTGGCATATTTTAGCAGGATTCTTGGAAAGCCAGAAAGAAATTATTGTGTAACCCGAAAAGAGCTGCTGGCGGTAGTGGAATGTGTAAAACACTTTCATAAGTACTTGTATGGTCAAAGATTTCGTTTGAGAACAGACCACGCAGCGTTGAGATGGTTATTACAATTTAAAAGCCCAGAAGGACAAATCGCTCGATGGATAGAAAGGCTACAGAACTATGATTTCAAAATAGAGCACCGGAAGGGTGTCCAACATGGAAATGCTGATGCGTTATCGCGACGACCTTGTCAGTTAGAGTGTAAACATTGCAGTAAAAATGAATTAAAGGAAGGAATCGTTGATATTCGTTTGACAAGTTTACAACCAGCAGAAGATTGGAACCCAACCAATATAAGAAGCAGTCAACTAAAAGATCCTGATCTTACAATGTTACTAAAGTCCAAAGAAGAGCGATCACGGCCAACCAAGGAGCAGATATCCTCCGAAACCCCCACTGCAAAGGCATATTGGGCACAATGGGACAGCATCCATCTAGTCAATGGGGTCCTTCACCGTAGTTGGGAAAGTGAAGATGGCAAGCGTTCTCGACTCCTAATTATCGTTCCGAAATCCAAAAT